AATTGAAAAACGTGGCTGAAATCATCAGCTCACAGTGAGAACTTTCCAAACTTTCACAGGCAGCATGAAGCAAAGATTTGTCTGCAAACTGCATTTGGGGAAAACGTGAGAAATGAGATTTGGTAATTAAAGTAAATTGGATGTGATGTCATTTAACACGACTATGGCAATAAAAGTCCATTAAAAACAAACAATTCTCTTGGGATGCCCATGTAATTTTTTTCTTGGTTTTGAGTCTAATCCTCTGAATTTATGGTTAAGCCTTGGATATAGAACTTCCAAGCTTCGTAGTGTTACACAGTTCAATATTCGTTTTTCTTTGCATTTTGTCAACACCTTTCCTTCTCTACAGACTTTGAAGGATAAGTTGGATATGTACAACAAACTGTTGGCTCCAAAGAACTAAAAGAATTACTGCCTTCTTGCAGTAATATTGTGTATTCAGATATCTATAATTTAAAACGGAGAGTGGACAATGCAACCTGCTGTCTAGCAGCAAGTCCCTGCCCAGGAAGGTCAGCTGCAAAATGAGGATAATTTGTTCAAACTTGGGACGTTTCCTTAAGAACAACGATAAATTGCCACTTACTGTTTCTACACTGTAAGGATGCACTACTACTTGAACTAAGCCTGTCAATGTAGTTCAGAGATTTTTGATTAAATGGTAGTTTATGATTTACTCCACAGTAAAAATTTTATTTGAATTTATAACTAAGAGATCAAAATTCTATATCCTGTGAGCAGAAAATTACACCAGACCCAAGATAGGACAGAGTTTTTCCTCAAGATCCCTGCAAAGACCATTCTTAACATTTAATTTGTCTGAGATCATTGCAGGAGCCTGCTTGAAGCTAAAATGGAGCAGTATCTTTCTGCCATACATAGCAAAGGGAAGTCTGGAGCAAACTCGAGTAATAAAGACTTCTTTCTCTCTACAGATAATGAAATAATTTCCAGTTTACCACTGCAGATGTCCCTCTATTTCAACGTTTATTATTTCCCACTCTGGTGGATCAGCACAGTTATCATACTCTACGTGAAGGTGAGTCCAGAAGGAAAGTAATGGTTGAGAAATTTAGTATGTGTACGATCAGACACCTCCTATTTCAGAGGTGGACTCCATGAGTTAGAACCCAGTAGGTTTGTATGGGAATTGCTTGAACCTGGAGGCTCTGAGAACATTTGAAAGCCAGTACAATACAGCCCACTGACAATAGCATACAGTGTCTTTATTTAACCACACTATGAAAGAGCACGGTTGAAACTTCTACCTTCTTCCTTCTCCTAGTATCCAGTCTTGTCAGATTACTACAAGTTCATCGTGGTCACGGTCATCATCCTAGCCTCGCTCATAGAGGTCGTCCGGCTCTACCTGGGGTACATGGGCAATCTCCAGGAGAAGGTAGGTCACCTTATAGAAGGCAACAGGAAATTTAATTGGAGTTAAATATAATTAAAATGGTCTGCTTGCTGAAGACAGTTATTTCTGTGAGCTAAGTCTGCACCTTCTGTCTCCCTGCTTTTGCTTCCCTTGTCTCCTGTGTGTTCCAGTAAGTTTTCCCCTCTAAAAGATCTCTTGAACGACAAAACTGTTTTGTCAAACGAATAATACTGTTAAATGCTGTATATGGAAATGTTAAACCACCTGATTTCACTGGCTTTTGAAAGATTAAAAAGATATGTGGTTTATCTGCAAAGTTTTTAAGTAACTGATGCCTTCCTGTTGTAGGTCCCTGAGCTGGCTGGGTTTTGGCTCCTAAGTCTTCTACTGCAGTTGCCCATAATTCTCTTCTTGCTGTTCAATGAAGGCCTGAAAATCCAGCCGCTGGAACGATCAGTCAACACCATCTTTGCTTTCTTCCTCACTTTCCAAGTCATTGCAGGCTTTCTTGCCCTGAAAAAAATGGTAAACCAGCTGGCAACCCACTTCCACCTCCATGAGTTTGAGCGGCTGGAGGAATACCCTCTGCCTCGTGTTTACGGCCTGGGAAGAGAAGAGAGCTGCTAGGGGCCCATATTGAGGAGTTCTCCCCAAAAATGTTGGCTTGGGATGAGCCAGAGGACTGGAGAAGTTCCCAAAGGCCTGTCTGTTGCTCGTTTCCATTTTGTTCATTCATTCTTGACCTTCCTGTTTCAGAGACATTTTTGTATGGTCAAGTACAGTGATCTGTTTGCAAACTGTTACTGGGTAGAGTACCTGTGGAAGTGATTTGACAGTTTTTACATTTTACAAAGCCGTGTACTGTGTTTTTTTTAAAAAAATACCTGGAATTATTTGAACAGTTTTCTTTTTAAACAATATTTTTATACACTTTTTTTTTTCCTGTTGCTGTCAGTTTCTCTCTGTGTTTCTGGATATGTTGCAGATATTTAGTCTTTGGTATCTTAGCAAAGCAAAAAAAAAAAAACAAAAACAAAAGCCAAAGAACAACCAAACAAAAAATAAACCATGCCTAAGAACCTTGAGGCCCTGTAGGAACAGTAGAGATGCTGGTGACAAGACAGGAAACAGCAGCGTTTCAGAGGTGTGAATTCTTTCCTAATAAACTAGGAATGTAGCTTTGAAGTATTCCTTCTTCATAACTCTGGCACTCCTGTGCTTTGACATAGCTGGAATTTTAGCTGTTGAGCCATTCAGAATGGATGGTAGAGTTTTCTCAAGTGAAAAATGCACTAAACAGATGTTAATGAATTTGTAGATATTAAAAATGGTTTATATTACTGAAGGGCAGAACCTGCTTCTCTCAACCTAGTAGATACACAAGCTTTTCTCACTCCTGTTTTGGCTGTCTGATCTGGTCTATCCTCTTCATTTCTGGTAATGGTTAAAAGTTCATTTTTCCTCTCAAGGAGGGATAGGGATCAAAAGCAAGATTTTTTTTTTTTTCATCTTATTCCTTTCAGTTTTCAGCAAGGCAGGAGTAGTTAGGGATGGCACGAGCTCAACGAAAGACAGAAGGAGATGTGGAAAAGGTGCAGTGTGCTTAAAACTATTCTATGCCTAAAAACTTCCAGAAGCTCTAGTGGAAAAGGAGTGTTAACTTTCTACACT